CCTCGCCGACCCCTCCTGCCCACAGGTAATTAGAGGAACACAGTGGGGGTCGAGGGCAGGGGGAAGCCCCAGCAGGCAGCTCCTTCCTCTGAAAGGGGCCCCTCAACACTGCCGGCCCAGCCCCCGCTGCGAGAACAAAAGGCCTTGTGGACGTTCAAAGCAAGGAACCGGGCGGGAGGCCAGCGTGGGCGGCCGCAGAGATGGCCACGGGGCTCGTGGCGGGGATGGCCGGCAACTGGAAGCTGTCCCCATCCATCAGTCAGCGGTGACAGCTCCCGGGGCCCCGCGGCCCCCTGCAGCCCAGCCAGCTGACTATCCCGGCTACACGGGCCACCCGGCCCCCTCCCGCCCGGTGGCTCCAGCCTGATGACCTGAATAATGGAGCCGCCTCGAGCGTCCCGCCACAGTGACAGACACATCTCTGATCCAGGCCTCTCACTCTGCCACTGAGCGTTACTGTCTCAGCCACAGCCCCGGCCACCAGCCCCTCGTGTGGAGAGAGAGATGTGACATTCCGACGGGGCTGTGGGCTGGTGTGGCCAGGGGCCTGGGAGTCCAGGAGATGACCAGAGCTTGGCCTTGCTTGATGCCAGCCCCCTGTGTGACCCTGGGCAAGTCTTGATCCCTCTCGGGGGGCCTCAGTTTCCCCTTTTGTGAAATGAAGGTGTCACATCCCAGCTTCAGTGGGTGAATTCTGTGGTGCTCAAGGGTTTGGGGAGACAAATGAAACTGAAGACCATCCACTCACTTTTCTGAAATGAGATCATCATTGTAAAACACTCAGCCCAGGGCCTGGCCTGAATCTTACAGACACAGACCATCAGCCAAATGACTAGTTAATACCTGGGAAGGAAAAAGTGTGAAGAGTCCAGGAAGGGTCCTGAGAGGCAGGGTTGGAGATGAGCCTGGAAGTGCATTCTGGGCAGAGGGAACAGCCGGTGTGGCTGCTCAGAGTTAGGATCAAGTTTGGGGCGGGGGGTGTTTGAGGGATATGGTAGAGGGGGATGATGGAGGGAGGCAGACCAGGCCATGCAAAGGGATTGGGTTTGCTGCGTGTCTCTGGGAGGCTGTTGGCCTTTCTGGTCTCCACACTCTGTCTGTTCCATGAGCTCCATGCTGGGATCTGCCACGTGGAGTATGAGGAGGAAAAGAGACAACGGGCTATAGGGCTCAGAACGGCCTTGCATGAAATAAACACTCAGGACCTGGGAGCTATTTTGTATCATAGTCATCCTCGCCATTGTGCAGCACGCTGAGCGCTTTGACAGGTCGTATCGGCTTTCTGTCGCCAGGTGCTTATCTTTGAGAGAACACTGGAGGCCAGGGATGTCGACGGGTACGAGAAAGTTCCTACAGCTTGGGTGGTAAGAGGAAGGGGAAAAAAAAAAATTGGAAAACAACCTAAATGTCCATCAGCAGGAGGATGACTCAATGAATAGTGACATTTTCATACCGTGGACGAGTCTATCGCAGTGACAGTGTGGCAACTGGAGCGTCACGTATCAACAAGGATCAGTCTCAAACGAGGATGTCGAGCCAAAAAAGCAATCACGGAAAATACATATGGGATGCTTGCATTTAGAGAAAGTTTTGTAACATGACAAGCCGCGCAGCAGACCACGTGTGGATATGCACGTAGGTGGTGGAGGATAAAACGGGGTGGGGAGTGATCAAACCGACTCAGGGGAGCAGTTCTCCTGCGTGGGGGGTAGGGGGCAGCCCTGGGGGACTGGCCAAACCCCAAGGCTCCCTTCCAGAATCCCCTGCTGTATTTTTATGATTATCTGACGTGGTATGTATTGTAACCTTTTTTGTTTATCATTAGTGTTCCTTACTAGAATGTAAGCTCCATGAGGCCAGGGATCTTGGCCTGATTAGGTCTGTGCTGCATCCCCCGAGCCTAGAATGGTGCCTGGAATATAGGCTCTCTGTAAATGTGTATTGAATGGGAAGGAGGGAGGGAGAGGAGGAAGGAGGGAGGGAAGGAGGGAGGAAAGAAAAGAAGCACGAGAAGGAATAAATTAGCATTGCAGAGAGAAACACAAGGCCTTCCTTATACAAGACTCCCCTGGTGGCTCAGACAGTGAAGAACTTGCCTGCAGTGCAGGAGACTGGGATTTGATCCCTGAGTCAGGAAGATTCCCTGGAGAAGGGCATGGCTACCCACTCGAGTATTCTTGCCTGGGAAATCCCTCGGCAGAGTAGCCTGATGGCTATAGTTCATGGGGTTGCAAAGAGTCGGACATGACTGAGCTACTAACACACACACACAACAACTTCCTTACACAAAGGAAAACATCAGGACCCCAGGGGAAGTCAGAGGGTGGCTTGAGAAAATGGAGGAAGACCACCCCCTCTATTACCTCTGCCTTCGAGGGTTCCAGCCGCCCCACCCCGTGGCTCGGGGGCCCCCATGCACCCGACATTCTCCCTGGAGCTGGTGGGACAGGAGCCTATGCTTTGAGGTGAGCCCTCTCTCTCCTCTGTTGGGAAAGTAGATAGGAGACGGGGTCCACTGGGCCACAGGGAGTCTGCCTGCCTGGTGTAGAAGAGGTTTGTCATCTCCGAGTCAGGGTGGCCCAAGAAATACAGATGCCCTGAATGACCATGTTCTTTGCCACCATGGCCTCCCCCGATGGCCTGAGGTCAAGATCTCCCACCAGACTTAAACCCGCCAAGCCAGACACTCTGTGCTCCAAGCCCAGGTCCCCAGGGCCCCACCCTCTAAAAATTTTTACCAGGTGCATCCGATTTTCTCCATCCCCGGTCCCCCTCTCCGCCGGATTCCACTGCGGCCTCCTGTCTCATCTCCCTAAGACCCCCTCTGACCCCTCCCAGCCCTCTGCTCGCAGTTGACCAGGTCCCCTCTCCTAGCCCTGCCTCCATGGCCTCCACAGAACTCAGGACACGGTCTCTGCCACAGCCAGAGGCCCTGCCTGCTCTCTGACCCCTCCCAGCCCTCTGCTCGCAGTTGACCAGGTCCCCTCTCCTAGCCCTGCCTCCATGGCCCCCACAGAACTCAGGACACGGTCTCTGCCACAGCCAGAGGCCCTGCCTGCAGCTCCCCAGAGTCACCCCCGCCACCCCACCCACACTCTCCAGCCGCTTCCCCCGAGGACCCCTCCCACTTTGTACACACTGGCTCCTTCTCTACTTTCCCCGACTCCGACACCCCCCACCCAACTCCAGGCCACCAGCCCCGAACATTCCTCCTTCTCCTTCAGTAACTCAGCTTATAAGCACATGCCCACCACCTCCATCAGGAAGCCTTCCTAGACTTCCCAGCATAGGTGAAGGCCCTCTTTGGGACTCTGCCAGCACCCTGGGTTTCCTGTTGCGCTCGGCAGAGTGAGCTGCAGTGGGGCAGAAACCATGTTCTGTACCTCACTGCACCCTCAGTACTGGCCCCGGGAAAGGCACTGGTTACATACCTGCTGAATGAATGAATGAATGGATGAATGAGTGGATGAATGAACAAATGAACAAACCACATCTGTCACACCTGGATTTAAGCCTCAGGATCCTTTGGAAGGTCTAGATGCTGGGATTCAAAGCCATCTGAACTCGAGGCCTCCGGGGGGTCTGCCTGGCCCCACAGCCCCTACTTGCAGGGAATAAAGACATAAGGAGTTTATCGCCTGTTCTGAGCACTTGTCCAACCCCACCTGTAATTCCCCCGCCAAATAAAGTGAGCATGATATAGCTGATAAAACTGCTTTAAAATTCCCCTTGGCCCGATTTCCCTACAGGAAAATGGTTGGAACCCTAAATCTTGATGGGCATGAAATACAGCAGGCGGTGGGCAAGAGCCGCGCTGCTGGGAGGTCCCTTCCCCAAGCAGCATGGAAGACTGTCCAGATGTGATAGGCATGAAACATTTCTGGCGGGGGCGGGGCGGGGGGAGAAGTTACAAACCCTTTTAAGCCTTCAGCCCCTCTGAAGCACCTTCTTTAATTAATCCCTACAACAGCCCCAGGAGGAAAGTGCCTCCATCACGCCTGTTTCCAGATTTGAGGCTCAGAGAGTTTCAGTGACCTTGCCCCACGTCACACAGCTGAACAGGGCAGAAGAGGCAGACAGAGGTCAGGCCTAAGAATGGTCGGGTATGGGGAGAGGATGTTTAAACAGTAACTTTTTCCTTTCCACCCTCTCTGTATCCTTACAACTTCCTGTCTTTGGCAGCTCCCACCACCCTTCGCAACAAAGGGGGTGCAGACCTCCAGAGATCTCAAGGAGGAGCAGGGTTCTCCTGACAGCGTTTTCTTCCCACTGTGTTTATTTTTGAAGACACCTTCTGTTGGCAGCCACTGATATCAGTTTCCTGGTATGTTCCGCGAGATAAAGCTTCCCTTTTAAAAATCTCTGTGTGTTTGAAGTGAGTCAACTTAAAGAAAATACTAGGTAAGTAATACAGGTGGTGATGAGTTATACCCCAAATCTGCAGCCCTCACCTCCTCTCCTGCTGGGTCAGCTCCTTGCGTACTGTCACTGTCTCCTCCCTGGGGTGAAGTCCAGGAGGTAGGGATTGTTGCTGGCTTAGTTCATGGGTTTCTCCCGAGTGACCTAGTGCTCAGCACTCCGTAGATGCTCAATAAATGAACGTGAAATGAAGGCAGTGGCGATACAGGAGTGGGGTACTGAAAACTTGCACAGCCAGCCCCTTTCCCTGCAATTCTAAAATCCTCCGATCCTGATATTCTGTTGTTGTCCGGGATTTAATGGACTCAGATTCTAGAGTCCTAGGGTGCAGGGAACCCAGGATCTTGGCTCTGTGGTTCTCTGATGCCAGCCTTCTCTGTCCCTAAGGCCTTCGGTGGCTCAGATGTGTGTTCAGTTGCTCAGAGACTCTAAGAACGTGGATGGATGGAGGAGTGTAAGAATGGATGGACAGACAGGTAGATGGATGGAAGGGTGGTGGGCAGTGAATGGATGGATGGGTGGATGGAAGGATGGGCAGATGGATGGGTGGATGGGTGAGTGAGCAAACGGAAGAACAAGGAGAGAGACAGGATAGTTTAATGGATGACTACTTGGCAAACCATTCATTTTCATGAAGAGTGCCTCTCCCCTCTTCCAAAAGCTTCCAATCATCCACCAGCTTCTTCATCCCCATCCTGTCCAAGACACGTCCCTTTAACATAACATCAAACTAATGACTGCAGGAAAGAATTGCAAGAAGATAAGAACGAAGCTTCAAATACTGGTGAGACCTGCCAGACGAGAGGAAACCAGCCCTGAGAACGTAGAGGAATGAACGGCTTAAGCATAGACTGAAGCAGGAACTCAGTGGCACTCAGAGTATTTAAGGAGCAGAACTGAGAGCCGTGGGACTGGGGCTCTGTAGGAAGGAGAAGAAGAGGGCCTCGCGGGCGGAGTTTGCACTAGGCTTGATGCCGCGGGTTTCACACAGGGGGGTGACCCGACCACCGTCATGGCGCCTGACTCATCATTGCTCCCTGGGGAGGAGGGGCAGGGGTGGGAACAAGAGAGGGTGGCAAGGCAGGGAGGCGGCCGAGCGCGGGCTCGGGCATGTTTGGAGGGGACCCGCCAGGTCTTGGTGATGGGTGGCCTGTGGGGAGCGGCCAGCGCAGGAAGCAGGGGTGACTCTCATGTCTTCTGGACTTCAGCTCTGAGAGCGCGGCGGGAGCCGAGATGGAGCTAGGGAAGCCTGGTTGGGATTGTAGATGGGACGCCCAGCACTCTCCTCTTCCTGCATCTGTAGAGAAATGCTCGTGGTGCACCTACTATGTGCCTGGTCATGCCCTGGACTCACAGAGAGAACGTACCAACTCCCCCACCTCCCGGCCACCCAGCACATCATGTACCTGACCAAGTTCCCACCAGCTCACCAAATCCCCTGGGAGTGACAGGACCAAGTGTCTGGGGGTGTCAGATTCCCCCCCGGTCCCTCCCCCCCAGCAACCAGCTGGCCCCATGTTCACAGCGCCAGGCCTCGCAGAGAGCAGGCGACCTTCCCGAGTGGCTGGGGCCCTGGGTGCTAATCCCTGCCCCGCCTCCTCCTGGAGGGGCACACCCAGGACTTACACAGTGGTGGCCCAGGTCACCCCCGGAGGTCATGCCCTCAGAGAAGAGACAACAGCTACCCAGCTGGCCCTCACCAACTGCGTGACCTTGGGCGGGCCATGTTCCAGAAAAGATCACCCTTAGAAGGTGTCATCTGTTGACCCATGTTCACATGGCACCTTCTGTGTGCCAGGCTCAATGGGAACAAAAGAGACCCCTCTTGTTGGACCCCCACCCCCCCCCACCAACATCCTACCCAGAAACAGATGAATCAAGAAAAATTGCCAGAGTGAGGGCTTCTGGGGAAACCCAAGAGAAGGCATAGATCATCACAGATCACATACATCCCTTCTTTCATCTCACCTTCACGTTACCCCCCAGGACAACCAGGGTGACATGGGGAAATTGAGGTCCTCAGAGCAGGAAGTTCCTGTTGCATACATATCACACCTGCCTCTTAAAGCTGCTCCTGAAGTGTCCGTCTTGGTATCAGCTTTATCTGACGACGAGAGAGGCAAGTGACCACGTGACCTGGAGGCTCTTGGGCAGAGAAGAATACACTAAGAAGTGGAATGTGTTTGGAGGCTGTCTGATTGAGGACTTGAGGGTCTCTTGCCTCCTCTGAAAGCCCCCTCCTGACCATGCTAATTCTATCCCTTCCAAAAAGGATCTGAGAACTCCCCAGGTCCCACACAAGAGCCAGGGTTGGAAAGATGAATCGGTCAGGGTTACACAAGGCTTTGCCTGTTGCTAAATTTACAACTGCAATGTGAACCTCAGGACAAAGTAAAAACACTTGGGGGGAAAACTGGGGCCAAAGGGAGAACTTCAGACACCTCTCCAGGCCCTCTGAGTCCGGCAGAGCGAGGCAGTTCCCAGTTGGGCCCGGAGAGAGGCTCTCGAAGGCAGCCTTGCAGACAGTAAGAGAGTTACCAGCCCACCCAGCCCGAAGAGCTTTGCAAGCCTGCCCTAGTCACCAGAGCTGCTGTCTGCTCTCTGGCTCCTGCCTGGAGGGCCTCGTTCCTGATTCCAAAAAGGAAGGAGAGAGAGAGAGAGAAAGATCCTCTTTACTGGCCCTTGAAGCAAATCTTTTTTGGTAAAAGGAACTTCTCTCCCTACAAACATCTCCACACGAATGAAGATATTAAGTTCATGAGTACTGATATAAAATGTTCAGAGCAAGCACAAATCCATACCTTACAAATACCTACTAGGTTTGACCTAGTAGATGAGTAGACCTACTCATCATGAACATACATTTCACATGCAATGTCCATAAATACATTAAAAAAAAAAGGATGTGCCCTTGTGTGCCTTGCTTATGTGTGTACAGACACTTGCCCCCGTGGCAGCATGAATGTTCAAAGGTGATAAGCACAACAAATGTGCTCACATAAGATTCTGGACCCAGTTTGCTGCACACACACACACACACACACACACACACACTGTCCATCAACATCATAGGTAATTCATATAGAACTAACTGTGTACCAAATGGGCTTTCCTGGTGGCTCAGTCAGTAAAGAATCTGCCTGCAATGCAGGAGATGCAGGTTCAATCCCTGGGTCCAGAAGATTCCCTAGAGAAGGGAGTGGCTACCCACTCTGGTTTTTTTGCCTGGAGAATTCTGTGGACAGAGGAGCCTGGCAGGCTATAGTCCATGGGGTCACAAAGATTCAGACACCCCTAAGAGCAGCTAACACTTTCACTTTCACATGGACCAAATACCATTCCCCACACATGCCCATGTTCTTTGCGGCCCCATCGACCGTAGTCCGCCAGGCCTGCCCTACCTAAACAAGGGTTCCTATGGGCATGGCCCCCCACGCTGAGAAAGGGCGGCCCCAGCCCCCAGCCCTTGGCACTACCGGGGTCCCACCGGCTCCCAGTAAGTCACGGCAGGGGGCTCCAGGGGCAGCTCTGCAGGTGGGGAGGGAAGTCCTCTAGGCCCAGGGTCCCCAACCCCCAGGCCGCCGACCGGTACCACTACATACCGCCGCATCAACACGCTGGTGTGAGGCTGTCATTTCTCTGACGGGGAAACAAAGGCACGAGCCTCAGAGTCGCCCGCCCAGGGTGCCAGAGCCAAGTAAACAAGGATGCTGGCAGGTCTAGCATCTCCGGCTCCAGCCAGCCCCGAGGGCCCATGCCCGTTCCTGCTCCCAGCCCCCCGCCCGGGTTCCAACCCCAGACAGTGCCATTTTCCTGCTACCCAGATGGTGCCTTCTCTTTGTCTTGAGGGGTTTTCTCCCTTCCCTTCTCTTTTTTTTCCTCCGCTTTCTTTTCCACCTCCCCCCCCCCCACCCCCAGTTCGAAGGATGAAGGAGCAACTCCCAGGATGGCATCTGAAAACAAAAGTGGCTGCTGTCACCTAGAGCTGGGGGATATGGAAATGAGCTGGTGGGTATGCAAATGAGGCTTCTGGGTGATTTGCATAGAGGCAGCTGGGGCGGGGCCGAGGTGGAGCAGGTGGGAGAGGCTGTGGGAAGCCCTCCTGGGGGCCCTTCCCCCAGGTACCAGGCTTCTCCAGGCCCACCTCCCCGCCGGGAAGGTCTCCCTCAATGCCCGGCCTCTGCAGTGCGAGATACCTGGACAGCTGTTGGGGTTTAATCGTTTCTCTTTGGGTAAATGAAATTAAATTTCTGTTTGCTATCTCATGGTGCAAACACATGGCTGGTTGAATTTTTTTTTTTTAATCAAGTTTGGAGTGTAAGTTTGGGATGATTTAACAGGATATTCGTGGATGGAGGAAAGAAAGTGAAAGGAAAGAGGGAAGGAGGAAAGAATAAAGGTAATGGATGGATGGATGGATAATGAGTGGATGGATGGATGGATAATGGGTAGACAGATGGATAGATGGATGGATGATGGATGGATAGATGTGGATGGATGGAAGAAGGAAAGTGAAAGGAAGGAGAGAGGCAGGAAGGAATAAAGGTAACGGATGCATGGATGGATGAGTGGATGGATGGATGAGTGGATACATGGATGGATGGATATGGATGGATGGGTGGATAATAGGTGGACAGATAGATGGATGGATGTATAAATATAGATGGATGGATGATGGATGGATGGGTAGGTGATGGATGGATGATGGATGGAAGAATGAAGTGATGGAAGGATAGGTAGGTGGAGAAAAAGGAAGAAAAGAGGAAAGAAGGAAAAGGGATTGGAAGGTGTACGGTCAGCTTGGGCCGCCATGACAAAATACCACAGACTGGGTGGCTTGAAGAGCAGAAATGTATTTCCTCATCACTCTGGAAGCTGGAAGTCGAAGGTCAAGCTTCCAGCCAATTTAGCGTCCGGCGAGGCCTTGGTTTATGCGCTTCTCCTCGCTGTGGCCTCAGAGGACCTTTCCTCTGTGCATGCGGGGTCAGGGAGTGCTCTCTGGGCTCTCGTCTAGGAAGGTCTCCAATCCTATTGAACCAGGCCCCATCCTCATGATCTCGTTTAATCTTATTACTTCCTTGCTGTGCTGTGCTTAGGCACTCAGTCCTGTCCGACTCTTTGCAACCCGATGGACTGCAGCCTGCCAAGGCTTCTCTGTCCATGGAGATTCTCCTGGCAAGAATACTGGAGTGAGTTGCCACGCCCTCCTCTAGGGGATCTTCTCAACCCAGGGATCGAACCCAGGTCTCCCACATGGCAGGCAGATTCTTTCCCATCTGAGCCACCAGGGAAACCCTGTATTACTTCCTTAGAGGCCCCATATCCAAATACAGCCACACTGGAGCTTAGAGCTTCAGTGTATGGATTTGGGGGGATACAAGCGTTCAGTCCACAGGTAGATGGGTGATGGGTGGGTGGGTGGGTGGGTGGATGGAGAAGCTTCACATCCTTCCCTGATATTCCTCCAATTATCCAACAAGGCCTCCTGAAGCATCTGCACTGAGCTCCAGTCCAGGTCCTGGAAACACAGGAGGAGGCTTATTTTCAAGGTCACGTGCAGGCAGGGAGTAGGGACAGTCCAGGCTGCTTTCGCCTCCAGCCAGCATGAAGAAGGCTTGCAGGTGGCCAGAAGGCAGCTGCTCCACGTCTCGCTCCCTCCCCTGCCCACGAGTGGAGGGACACCCGTTTCCTCCTTTGTCTCTGTCTCCGCCCAGCCCTCGCGCCATCAATCCCCCTGCCAGCCATGGGACAGCGCAGGTGTCCCTGCCCTGCCTCTGGACGTGCCCCGTGGAAAGCTACACTTCGGGGTGGAATTACTGCCCGGCCATCTGCACTGGGCTCTTCCAGTGGATCTCCCAGTGATTTGAAGCCTTGTTCGTATTCTATCAATAAACGAAGTTCTTGGGCCCACATTTTGATGGAAGCACTTCTGAGCCTCTGGAAGGTGGAGGAAAAAAAAAAAACTCACGAAAATGCAATGTCTCGTCGAACAGGATCCTATGACTTACAGTTCTCTCCTCTTCGCTGCACTTGAATATTAAATGTTGTATTAATAGCTCACTCTTAATTATCCATGAGTAATGTACTACAGCTCAGAAATTAATGAAGGCAAAGACCCAAGTGAGAATATTTCCCACTCCTCTGGGGGCTGCAGGGCTGATGGGAGTGGGGGGTAGATTTGCATGAGCCACTGTGGGTCTGGCAGTCCTGGCTGGGAGGGTGATAGGAAGACGTGAGAACCAATGTAGGGGACTGCCGTGAATAGACCCAGCCCCTTCCCAGCACTTTCCAAAGAGAGAACTCACTTCTCTCACTCCCACCTCCCAGCTTGTGCCCATTTGATCCCCTTGCCAGGAATGCCCAACCCACACATCTCTATGGACAGAGGACAGAAACTATCTCAATAGCTACCATCCCAGGTGATGCTAGTGGTAAAGAACCAGCCTGCAAATGCAGGAGACTTAAGAGACGCAGGTTGGGAAGATCCCTTGGAGGACGGCATGGCAACCCACTCCAGTATTCTTGCCTGGAGACTCCCACGGACAGAAGATGCTAGGGGGCTACAGTCCGTGGGGTCACAGAGTCAGACACGACTGAAGCGACTCAGCACGTACAGAAGGACAATTCATTTCAGACACACACACAAATATATTTATATCTGTAGCACGTGTGTACAAATGCAAATGTCCATGCACACACACACATTTACTACCATTACAAAGTTTAGGAGCTTCCCTGGGGGTCCAGTGGTTAAGACTTCACCTTTCAATGCAGGGGGCGAGAGTTCAATCCCTGGTAGAGAAGTTAGGATATCACATGCCTGGAGGCCAAAAAACCAAAACATAAAACAGAAGCAATATTGTAAAAATTCAACTAGAAAGGCTTTAAAATTGATCCACATCAAAAAAGAAAATCTTTTTTAAAGAAAGTTCAGAAAACATATGGTAAATATATATGTCTCAATGCTATTCTCTCAAATCATCCCACCCTCACCTTCTGTCATACAGTCCAAAAGTCAGAAAACAATCCACAAAA